CAGGCAATCACCATTGTCGGTTCGTTGGCGTAGGGTTCCGTAAATACCTCCAAGATGCCTTTCCGAATAGCTCAGCCTTCCTACTTCAGCGATTAAGTCATCTGTCATTATGATTACATCTGAACGTTTAGCTTTCTGCAGCAAAATTGACAGCCTTTCATCATACGAACTGCAGTCAATGAGCGCATGGACGAAGATTACGAACGGGCATCGGCTGGTCTCATGATCCTGGCATATATATATATATATATATATATATATATATATATGTTTTTGGAAATGCTCTTACCAAGCCATACGACTCACTATCGTGATGAACTTTTGACTTATCAACAATGAACATAAGTGGTGGGCTGAGTAAATTTTTGGCTACCAAAAATACTTCATCAAATTACTTCTTGTTTACTTGTTTTAACCATTCAAATGTCAATAAGTCATAAAACATACTCTTACACACTCCTAAAATATCTTCAACCTATCGTTTGATTGGTTAACAAGACTATGGGAAAAGAAGAGAGTAGATAGCAGTTAGTGCCTGAACGTACAACAGTGAATCAAACAGCTATTACAAGAATAGCAAATTTTTATAACCGATGAATAAAACTCCACCACCAAACTTAGGTATGCTTTTCTATCTGACCCACGTACAACAACTTACAAACTAGACGATGACCTAGAAATTACTGGGTTTTGTTCATTACTACTTATCATACCGTTATTATTTATATTATTTAACTGCTGTGGTAACCTCGCTCGGTTAACTAGTTCACTAGTTACTAGCCGGTCCTAAGGCCGGATAAATAGGGAAGGTTGGGCATAGCATTGAGATAGCAATCCCACCCAGTAAAACCAATCCAATCTCTGAGGAAACTTCAAAACATAACGAAAATAGTAGGAATGAAAACAAACTTATTCCTCGCTGGAATCGGAAAGACGAAATGACGTCGGTTGGTGAAAGCCTGTCTTCGGGAAGCCAGTCGGTCGATGTGTCTTCTCTCGCTTGATGAGAGTGAAAGTAAGGATGGGGACATGGAATGTCTGCACCATGTATGAACCTAGTGAGGCTGGCCAGATTGCAAAAGAGATGAGGAGGTATGGCATGGAAGTGCTAGGAATCGGCGAAAGCAGATGGAATGGAAGTGGACTCTCCAAACTGTCAATTGGTGGGTCAATAATCTATTGCGATATGGCCACCCATACGACAACCACGAGCACACTGAGTTTTCGAGTGGCTATCATGATGTCTCCAAGACCATCGAAGGCTCTCATGCAGTGGGAACCAATCTCCTCCAGGATCAGGATCATGACAGCAAGGTTCAACTCGAAAGGAAGGAAAGTCACAATCATTCAGTGTTAAACACCAACAAATAATGCTGGTAATTGAAAGGAGGAGGAATTCTACAAACAACTGGAATCAGTACTAGACAACACTCTAATTGGCGACATTAAAATTCTAATGGGTGACATACATGCTAAACTCGGAGCAGACAACACAGGAAGAGAATTCATCACAGGTCGAGAAGCACTCGGTGGAATGATGAATGAGAACGGAGAACCGATTGCAGATTTCCGTGCATTTAACGATTTCGTTACGTAATTTGAAAATATTGTACACGAAGTAAATTTTCTGAAATATCACGCTGGGAACACAAAACTGTATTAAACGTTATTGTCTAGAATTAAGTGATTATTATAATTATTGGTTACTCTCCAGTGAGTTGGCCAGTCAACGTAAATATCCAATTAGCGATGCCCGCAAGTATAGGAGGTTCCTGTATGGTCAATAATTTGCATAACACATTGTTGTGTTATGACGCGATTCGACAGCTCAAGAGGATCACGTTATGTGTCATGCATGCGATACATATTGCTTCGGCTCGTTTCCAGAATTTGAGCAAGTCACCTTATTCTAGAGCTGTTGTACAATACGTTTAATTAACCAAAGAATCTCCTAGTTAACACAAGGAATGATGAAATAATTTCGGAGTAAATATCATACAATTGAGTTTTGTTATTAAAAGGTGTTTATCATATGGGATTTCAAACACAATTTCAAGGGAAGAAACATTTGCTATTCTGCGAAATGAATCGCAGCTAATACAAATGCACTGCATGAAAAAGGTTGCTGTGGATTATAAAAGGTGAATCACCTGGTCACTAAAAGTTCAACAATATAACAGCGTATACATCATTACTCCTTTGTTTTCTATGACGCGTTCACAATACTGAAACATAGAGTCATAACGATGCCGCCTACACATTATATATTCCATCATAATCGTCAGGATTATAAGGTAGCAGTTGAAAATGCTTAAATTTCAGGTCATTCAACCCACACATTTCACATTGTGAACTCAACTCACATAGTCACATCTTTACATAAACAGTAAGTAGTACACAGTTTCCAACATAGTTTACGGCTTCAAATATTTTCTCTGAAAAAACAATTTCTTATCATTTCTTCTACATTTTGATGGTGATGGTAATAGTGTATGATAATTAGCATACGTGTTTCATAAAGGATTAGACGTGAGAAAGTGATTGGTTCATCAACGCTTCATATCAATGTATCATTCCTGGAATCGCTCTCAGTAATCAGAATGAAGAAGTCACCTATTCAGTGGGAAGGTTTGATTTGGAGGAACCGTCTCCTCATCGTTTTCTGAAAGAAGTAATTTGGAGGTGAAACACGTATGCTAATTGTCATACACTATTACCATCACCATCGAAATGTAGAAGAAATGATAAGAAATTGTCAATTTCTCATAGTTTTGTTTCCCTCGAAGTCGACGTATGCCTTTTTTCGATACGACCATACTTTGAAGTTATCTGTGACTGTACTGATGTTTATTTTGATGGTACTGATGACTATTTGCTTAGTGTGAGATTTGATGTAGATTATCTAGGATAAAATTCTAAGCATTATTTAAGTCATTAATGTTGTCAGTGTAGTTGTATTGGTAACACTTTCTTTTTGTGAACATATAGTTTCTGCTGTTTGATCCTGATTGCTACTGCTAGTGAAGTCTGAATGATTTGGATTCAGATACTTTTTGGCACATTGGTCCAAGGCCGATAAGGGATGAAAAACGAATCATTCCCATCCACCCTATGGTTTTTTACCAACCAAATATCGTAATATGGGGTTGGTGATTATCCACCTTAAAATTTACTCCTCGAAGTACATACAGGTGCTTAGTGTTGTATGGCTATAGTTTGTTGAACTACCTAAATGATTTGAAGTGCAGAAGTGGTTGGAATGTAAGAAGTGGAATTCTCCGCCTTGCTGAGTAGGTCTCAGAAAATGCCTGAGTAGCAGAATGGATACACATCTAAGTTTATTGAGATGAAATTGAAATTCAACTAACATACGAAGCAGATCCATGCACTTACGAAGGAGACTATAGTTATGAATGCCGATTTCAGGGTGATACTGGATCTTAAATTCCTAAGATGTGGTTATTTAGATTCCTGATATGAACATTTTTCGATGTCAAGCTACATTTGGAAGATAATTTCTGAGTGTTCGAAGGACAAGTTACTCCTGATAATGTGCTTACATGTCCACTTGCTTCTATGCGACTAGTTATATATTGTGTGTAAAGTGCATGCATTGAAAGCACATATCCTAGTATTACTCTGCATGGCTATCGTTAGAAGACTGCAAATCAATCCCTAGTTCGATTCTTGATCATCTGGTCAATTCTAATCACATAGCTTCACCACAGTCTGACTTCGAGACTATCTACATAGTCAAAGAAAACAGTCCAAGAGGAGGTAGTTCCAATTCATTGATTGGAGTTGAATGCCTGTGCTTAGAAGAAGTACATCCAATCTTCCTTTTCAAAGTGGTCTTTTTGATAACGTATTGTTATATAATTTCTTTCTTTCTTGAGAATCATCGTTTTAGTCTACTCTTGAAAACGATAGTAATGTTGTTGATGATTAGCAGACTGTTATTTCTCTCCACTACAAATAAATATGATTATACAGCTCTAGTTAACGAGTCCATTGAAACGTTAATTTCCCTAACCCATTTACTTTTTCTCCTCATTAAGGAAATAGTACAATACATTATCAGTATGCTATTCTGTACTCACCTAAAATACTCAAGTAGCTCAGATACCGTTATATCAACAATCTAGCCGGTACATTAGTCATTTATTGGTCTCACAATGAAATCATATCGACTACTAGAAACTTTAAAATATATTCTAGAACTCAACTAATTCAAAATTCTTTTTATTCGCTAATGATATTGGCCAACTGTTGACTACACTAGAAGATGAGATGTCTAGGGGAATGTGAGACACTATATAGGGTCTTCCAATAAATCAAACTAGATGAACTTGTCTAAAATAAGTAGATGCTTTAAATCAGCCACAACTGAGACATGAGCTCCTGCACAAATGACTACATGTTACTGGTAATTTCATTTGACATCAATGATGAATAGTGGTTAGCAATGGGTTTGGGATACGTGTTGTCATGTTTGTCTTCCAGTGAGTGATTCTATTCCCTCTAAAACTCAACCCTACAGCCTTATCCACCAAGTCACGGTTACCACTCCGGTAACATCTCTACCACTTGCAGAGAGTACATTCAATTGATCAGAGAAGAATACAAGACTAACCTGGTAAAAAAAAAAAAAGAGGGAGGCTAAATGGTATGGTGCATCAATACTCACAATAAATCCTTATTCTTACCTAATCTATGGATTTCCACTGAAAATTAAACCCTATACATCAATAAAACACATTCTGTTGAAAGTTCAATTGCTTAGATAATGCTTCTATCAAAATACGAAGAGTTAAACCGTGTTAGTATATCACATCTATCTCATGGCTATCATAATCATAGCTTAGAAGTAAACAAAATGAAACCATAAAATAAAATTTATAAAGGTATAGAATTTGTAAGAATATATATATATATATATATATATATATATATATATATATATGTATTAAAGTCTCTAAATAAAAGTATTTTTAATTCGTTTAGAGAGGTGGTAATTGGAAAGTTGATTGTATCCACTTTTTCAAATGATGATATTGTTTCATTCGTGCAGCGGCATATCTAAAATAAATCAAGAAGTCTGTGATGAATCAACTCGTAGATTTAAAGTATTTTATCGACACATGTCAGTATCAATGAAAGAAACCATAAGGTAACATCTCTTCGGTTAGACTTTAAGAGTAAATCCACATATGGGGTAGAGCTCAAACACATTCCTCATGCACTCAATCTAACTGACGCCTTGAAAATGGCCTACAAAGTGATCGTTCTACTTACCAATGAAATACGTTCGCCTAAGCTGACCAGTCAACTGCTCTTAGATAAAAGAGAAATATACGACCTCGGAAAGGGACTTACACGAATATGTTTGCATTTAGCAAAGGGATCTGGAGTATTAAGGGCTGTTAAAGAGACCTGAAAGTATTATATCTAATTCAAGTGAAGTTTATGGGTAAGCATTGTCAAGGAATCCTCTTAAGTACTTTGTGATTTCCAGCAGTTTTGCCAGGATAAGTTGCCATAATCATAGAGATAAATTGGCTAGAATATGATCTTTATCAAGATATAATTGGATTTCAGCGTGTCTCATTAAAAACTATAAATAACTAAGCTGAATCATCTAGATTTTGACATATCTTCGCTCATATCAATGCGTGCAGATAACTTTGGACATGAATTTGAGTCTGAAAATGGAAGATCCATGATTGAGGGAATACAGTGAATCCCAGAGAATTTTCACACGCTTGGTACTCAAGTCAAATAGCAATCAACAGACACATTGACATTGACTTAACCCATTAACCAATAAGAAACAAGAGGATAGTCAAATTTCATATCATCAGAACAACCAATCAAAGTAAATATTTGGACAAGGCCTATGACTTTGGCAGAAACAACCAATCATTCACAAGGACATCTCGATAGCCTATCAGACAACTAGTGGAGAAACCCTACACTTCGCTTCTTTCTGATGGTTGTGGTGATAATATTGTTTAGAATGAGCTTCATGGTTCAACTGACTAGCTTAGAGAAGAAAACACCATCAAAGCAAAACAATGGCATTTTTTTAAGAAGAATTATTTGATATATAATGACTACAACATTATATGAATCTTTTGTAGGTGGAAAATATAAATATACTTCAAAAATGCCAACTATTTAAAACTTCATCCGCAGAAGCATTTCACTTTCATGATTAATTTATGTCTGTGTGTGTGATGATCTTGTTAAGTATCTGAGGAGAAGAGAGTGAGCATTTTACTGACTAAAGTGAGTTGTAAACCTGCTGAATAGTTGGATTACGTAGCTTGGTTTGCAGAGCAGCGAGCCGGTATGAGTTCTGCCTAGATCAGGTTTTTTATTCAGCTCCACTTATTGTTCATGTTAATCATGTATTCAGTCGTTTAGCTAGTCTATTCCAATGTATATCTAAATATCTCAAGTTGTTATTCATCGCAGACTGGCACAAGTTGGAGGAACAAAGGAAACCTTGGAGCACTGGGCAGCTGTTTCGTCCGACTAGTATGGGACTCCTCAGCAGTACGAACCGACCACCCCACCCCTCCAGGGATCGAACCCGCGACCTTCAGGTTCCGTGGTCAGCACGTTACCATTGAGCAACTGGTTCAGAATCCAGTGGTCCATATTTCCAACTTCTGTTATATATATATATATATATATATATATATATATATATATATATATATATATATATATATGTAATCTTTCAAGTTGACCAGTTTTATCCAATCTGCATTTTAATTAAAGTATTTAGAGAGAAGCTACTTAAGCAGGGATGGAAATGGCTTAACTTCATTCTTTCTTCGCAGCGAATGTTTCAGTAAGGCAGCATGGTAGGATCTTGACTACAGATTCTTTCCCATTCAATATATTATATCAAACTGCTCGTTAAAATTAAACCTTCGAATCTCATCATCCGAACCTATTACCCAACAAATATGCAGAAGGAAGTAGAGATGAATTGGACATGCACTGAGAAGGCTGACTGGAGACATCACGTGCCACGCACTCGAGTGGAACCCAGATCGGAAACGACGAGTTGGAGTCCAAGGGTGACATGGAGGAGATGATGTGAGGAAGAAATGTGAGCTTCTGGGTTGTCGTGGCACCAGGTTCAAAAGACTACAGAGAACAGAGTGCACTGGAGACGTGCTACTGAAGTCCTATGTTCCACTAGGAACCCAAAGGACAAATAATAATAATCTCATCATCCATTATTGCGTATTTTTAAAGTGTCTTCAGCTTACTATTTCACAGGTTACCAATAAAGTGAAGGAAAAACATTATAGCAGATGGTGTTAGGCTCACAACAATACACCATATTCCTTGAATAGTTAGTTACCTTGACTTTAAGATTTTCTTACAAACTGAAATAACCAATACCAGCAAACATTGGCACTGTTTTCTATTCATTTCCCCTTTCGGACCAGACAATGACATAATAACAGCTGTTTGTTTCATTTCGCTGTCTGTAATACTTCCATATTGGATTTGTTTATTTGATATATAGCGCACCAAGATGAAACAGTATTATTTACTTTATGATGCTTCTAGTATAAATTGTTATTACTCATAATCATATCAGTGTGCTTTCATACTACTGTCGACATCTGATTTTCATATTCTTGTCACCTCTTTTTCTCCGTCTCTATTCGTAGTCAATTTTTCCATAGCTTTGACATGAGTGCTGCGTCATTTCTACTACGTGTTGAGTGTTGATTCGATGAAGAATGATTCAGTAATCAACCCCTCTCCCTCTCTCTCCACCTAATTATATTGGACTTAAGTGGAAATATGGTTTAATCTCACCCTACTATGCGGTTGTGTGTTATTGTATGCACGAGTTGTTTTCTAGATTATTGATCTTATTAGAGTCTGTCATTCTTTATTTAGCTAGATGAGTTTAGATGGTTAACTTAATGCCTATAACTAATAATTCTAGTAGAATTTATGGCACTAAAAGGTTCACTAACTAGGTTATCCCATTAGACCGATAGTTGACTTCAGAAATACCCCTACATATGAACTAACAAAGTATATAGCACTAATATTGTGTTCTATTGGGAACCGTTCAAATTCCAGACTAGTCATTTCTTACAAGTTAAAACTAAGGTTTAGTGACCTACACATAGAAGAGGACGATAAAAAATGGTTAGTTTCGGAATAACAGGTCTTTATACTAAAATATCAATGTATATGGCACTGGAGGCAGTCAGAAACTAACTAACTACTCACTCAGAACTTACAGAACTAAGATATAGGTTGATGAGATCATATTAGGCATACAGTTGTGTTTGGTCTTTATAGTCTTCAAGTTTCAGGAAAAATATATCGAGAAACGAAAGGAATAACAATGGAATCACCAGTATACCCAATAGTAGCAGATATGTTTATGGATAGATAGGAAAAGGTGGCTTAACAAACATTGAATCCTGCACCTAAGATATAGTGACGATATGTGGATTACACATTTACTGTTTTGAAACCCGAACATATCGACTATTCCCTCATACAAATAAACTCAGTAATAGGCGCAACCTAATTCACTTACGAGGAGGTAGAATATGAACAAGATGAATCAACTATGTTAGATTATAAAATAAAACAAAGGACAGACGGTGGTTTGGATACTACTGTCTACCTAAAACCAACGCATTCTGACAGGTATCTAGACTTTAAGTCATCTCATCAGTGAAGGCAGGTTTAGTCAAATGTGTAAATGAGATAGCTAGAAAACTGACCAGTCAGTTCAATGACCTAAACAAGGAACTGAAGCATATTAAAGAAGACTTAATAATTATCCTCCACAGTTTAATCGAAAATTTGTAAGAACACGAGAAATAATAACAATAACCCCAGTACGAATCATAACAATAACATGAGTGGAGTGGAGTCCACAACCTTCATTGTGTTACCCAATAAGGAACGAATATAGAAACTTTACGTTGGATTCATAATAAGGCTGCAATCAGGGTGGCATTTAAATCTACAAACTCATTCAGAGATAAACTTTGTCGGTTGGCTTAAGGATTCGATAGAACCAATTAAGCAAAATAATCTAACCTACCAAATCCCATGTAATGACTGTTAGTCAGGTCAAGTATATAGGTCAAACTAGCCGGTCGGGGTCAATTAGAACAGCGGAACATAGGAATTTAGCTAAAAAAAATAAAGAATGACAGACTCTAATAAGATCAATAATCTAGAAAACAACTCGTGCATACAATAACACACAACCGCATAGTAGGGTGAGATTAAACCATATTTCCACTTAAGTCCAATATAATTAGGTGGAGAGAGAGGGAGAGGGGTTGATTACTGAATCATTCTTCATCGAATCAACACTCAACACGTAGTAGAAATGACGCAGCACTCATGTCAAAGCTATGGAAAAATTGACTACGAATAGAGACGGAGAAAAAGAGGTGACAAGAATATGAAAATCAGATGTCGACAATAGTATGAAAACACACTGATATGATTATGAGTAATAACAATTTATACTAGAAGCATCATAAAGTAAGTAATACTGAATCACTGTGCGCTTTCTGCACGTATACGAGAACATGTTCTTGCTTGGTTTTATAAAGGGGAAAGAAAGTCTGTTAGAAGTTCGATTCTAGAATATTTGATTGATTTCCATCACTCAACAAATCCAGACAATGACTTCAAAATTATTTATCAAATTAGACCAAACCTCCCACGTTTTCTTCGTTTTCAACTTCTTAAAACAGCGAAGGCTTTAGCTATTCATGAACTTAAACCTGATCTATATGTACAAAGAAGTGTTTGCAGTCACCATTTTTATGGTGGCCATAACATTTTCCATTTCCATTAGTTTCCTCTCACCCTTTGTTAGTTTTCGTGTCCTTCCTTTATCACTATTAGTGCTATTATAATTCCCTTCACTTTGATTAGTTTCCGATGTTATTTCACTTAACTGTCTTAATCTTTTTAGAAAACATTGATTTAATCTTGACTAACTTGTCTAATTTTACTACATAAAACTTGATTGGTTTACCACTTTCATCAATTTTACCACCCCCTTCTGAGCTATATACTTTCTTTGAACCATTCCACATATTACCTAATTTAATTTGTTATCATTCACACTTCAGTTGTTATCATAATCACAAATACCTATGTCATCATCATCATCATACGGAGTTTAGATTTCCTCACGGGACATATTTTTTAAAAATATCTTACGCTGTAAGTGAGTAAGTAAGTGAGTGGATAAGTATGTAAGTAAGTAAGTAAGTAAGCAAGTAAGTAAGTAAGTGAGTGGATGAGTAAATAAGTAAGTAAGTGCTATTGTACAGCTTAAAATTAAATTCTTTGAAAAGAGTCTCTTCTCTGAATATCTTGTTCTTGATATATCAAATAAACAAATCTAATATGGGATTAAATTCCACCGCAGTGCCTACGTTCTGCATTTATATTAATGCCTGTAATGCTGTTTTCATAAACATTACTAAGGTTCTTTAATTTGGCTCAAAAATATCGTCCCATTGGGGGTAATGTTGTTGAAATATCACAGATTAAGCATTCCATGCTTTTGATGGGCCAATGGAGAAAGTTCGAAGTGCTGATCATATTCGTTTGGTCATTAAACTGGAAGAATCGGCATCAAGGTGCACTTCGATAGATTTTTTTCGTTGAATACGATCAGTAAGAAACCCTAGACTTTACTGTATACACTAGACTGCATACACTGCCAACTGGTGTGAAAGGTTTGAGATGATGTACGCAGCTTGACAAGTAGCAATAATCACTTTGAAGTGATCCAAACAGTAGGTGACTATTTCACTCATATAACGCTTGGTTCAATGACTATTTTAAAGGAAACAGATCAACACAAACGGTTCACAATACACAACCATTAAGAATTAGATTCAGCCGGGTAAGTTTCACGTTTATAGTGGTTTCCAGAAAGGTTTAAATTTCAAAGTTCTTTGACTAGCCATTAGGAAGATATCCACCTGATGTTATGCGGTCCTAAGTACTGGCCAAAAACTGTATCATAACCATTGTGCTGATGAATACTAATAGATGCGAAACATGGTTCTAAGGTTTCTAGCTGATTGCTTCTCACCACCTAGTATGACTTAAGCTCATCAAGGTTGCGAGTTTATCATCTTTTCCATGGTATTACGAACTTGACATTTAGAATTCAGTCAGTACTTAGGACTAGCTTACATGAGATAGATTACTAGCCAGTTATCCTCCATAGATGATTATTGTTATTCTTCAAGATCAGAATCAGAATTCATCTAACAATGAGAACAAAAGCATTATGAACTATTGTCATTCAAATACACAATTGTTGTTTAATTTCAAATGACTTACGCCAGATAATCCATTGAGGTTAGATTCTCCGCTGCAAAAATTACTGCCCAAATAGCCCAAAATAAATGAGAAACCTTAAATTAGATGAAGAGAAAGAAGGTTTTTTGAGTGAGGAACAGGTGAATGCAATTCATACTAAGATTACTCAATCAATAGTCCTTAAAAAGCTCGTCTTCTTACTTATTAGGTAAGAACAGAAACATGTACAAGTAGAAATCGATTGTTAGACTGAGGAACAACCCTGAATTATAGAACAGATATCGGTTAGATTGAAATCAAGTTCCTGGATTCACCTTCATAGTCCATTTACATCACACAGCATTCAGTTGAGTTAAATCGATCAGATAAACTGCCACTCTTACGAAAAAATTGTGTTAGATCACTAAATCATAGACCGGATAATTGAAAATACACAGCTTAGGCATTCCATATGTAGAAAGAATTTCAATGATTTGCACGATGAAATACAGTTATCAGCTTCCAAGCGAAATCATCAGAATTCATCCTAGGGATGGCAAACTCCTTTTAAACCAACCTTAAACGACCAGTTTTATGATATGATCTTGTTTCTAAGGGAAAAGACTCTGTATCTATACTGAATACGTCTCTTCCTTATGGACATAAAAGGCTTCATCTTGTTTCATACTACTCAACAAGCACCTTTAATTGACCTGTCAACAGTCAGTGAATTCGCTGTTTGTTGGTTTGGCCTGTGCAGGGAGGTGTAATTTGTCTAGTTGGGGACCTCGAGAAAATGTCTAAAATACGCTTGGTGATATGGCTGAATATCAGTCACATTGGTGTAAATGTATTCACTCGCTGACGTCTTCTAAAGTATGAACATTTCCGCTAACCTTCAATTTTAAAATTCTATCTCTTATCCTGATATCAATCCTATTGTGTTTATTTGCTACTTTATGCTACTGTGAAGTGTGGCAACTTGAACCGATACACTTCTATTAGGATTTCAGTGTTGACTTTTTTAATCTTTGTAAGATATTGGAAGAACAAATCTCTTCAAGAAACTTTCAATTTGTCGTAAGATTTGCTGGTGGTGTGATCACTTCGTGTAGTGTATGCTCTTAGAAGGGATACCGGGACTCTATGTAAGCAAAGACAATTTTCGCTCTGATTCTGAAGAGTTACTGAATGAATAAACTGGTTCATCATTAACAACAATAACCTCTAGTATTAAATTATACCCGCTACCCAGAGTGTAGCTGTTGTGACTCATTAGGCTAATGTATAACTCTTCTACTTTCGAAATGATGCGTACTGAGTTTGTGTCACAGATAGAACAGCAACACCTACTGGAAGACAGATATTGAATGTAAGATGAAACTAATGTCGTAGGTTTCAGAGCTAGTTACGATTTACCATTATTATCATAGAAAACTAATATACAATTCTGATACTAGACGTTTGGGAAATGAAGTTATGAGTAAGACACAAATAATAAATCATCATAACCTTCAAAGCATTACTTGTGCACGTAACGGGAACACTGAACTCTTAGTTAAAAGTTACGGTGTAATTCTCAGGTTTTAGGATATTCATTACCTAATAAAGTGTTCACTCGTATCAACTAAGACGGTTTATGAACGTATTTTTAATGTACGATAACTTCATTTTGATAACTGCACCAGTTCTGCCTGAAGTGGGGAAGGGGGGAACAGAAAAAAATGTCTTAACATACTACTTGTTTATGAAGTCAATCACTATTGATCAAAATGATTATGGACTCCTCAAAAATATGTGCACCCTTAACGAAGTAGGGTATCCAGACCATTCTAAGCGTGCTATAAGACCCCGGTGTACATTGCTGAAAAATATCAGACTTAAGAAAACAGTTGTTCACTGGATCCTGATTTTCAGTAGTTCTTTAGGTAATGTCAATTCACCATGATGATGAAACAGATATGACTTATTTTTAGGTGAAATGTATAGTACTACCTAATCCTATCGAGTGTGAGACACTCTACATGTTACTGACAGACCAAATTCAGCTTTGTTGCATGTTTATGTAGGTTTGAAACAGTGGAATTGGCAGTAATTATCGGGTTCTAATTCATTGGTTCAGTGGTAAGGTATTCCCAGCGGAACCTGAGGTTTGTGAGTTCGATGCCTGGTGGGGTCATGAGTGCACACTTCTGAGGAGTCCCATACTAGGGCGAAACAGCTATCCATTTTAACCAGGCCTTCAATGGTTCCCCAACTGATGTCAGTTTATGGTGAATATCAACTTGAAATCAAAACTTCTGTTACCTTACTTGGGAATTTCAACTGAGGATTGATAAAGACATGATTCTCAAGCAGCTTTGAATCAGTAGCTCCTATGATGCGAGCTCAATAATTTATCAACAGAACTAGGCAAATGAAGTGCTGGGTAGGTTTTCCAGCTAACTCCTTTAAATACTAGACCTGTTATTCAAAGGAAAAAGGTTCAATGTTAGTAAAACTCCACCCACTTCTTTTAAGTTTCATTCATTTCACATGATAAGAGAGTGAGGTATACTGCCTGATCATTCAAAAGTAGTCAGTTTCTTGTCATCTAGTTCTGAGTGTTAACCGAAATCCATTAAACTTTCCACAGTGTGATCGTCAAGGTAGTAGACTGGGCATCGTGGTGCACTTTGGTGAGTGCTAGTTAGCTGGAGGCACTCGGCAACGAGCCCTAGACCTAGGTTTCGTCTTTTTTTGCACTCGCTGGCAAAGCGTATCTGCAACATCGTTGGAAGTGATGTTTACTGTGACATTCGACCCCACTTCACCCAGTGTTGCAGTCAGAGAAGTTACCAATGAGCTATTCGGTTTGCGACTGACCACCCGTAGGACTGGATTACATGCTTTGACTGGTCACTAGAAAGCAACTAATTTCAAATTGTCTTGTCCTGAGTACTGACTGACTTCTACTGATCATTCTACAGTGTGGTTGTCAAGCAAGTAGACTCGACATCGGTGTGCACTTTGATAAATGTTAGTTGACTGGAGGCAATCACGGCTTCCTACCGATTATCTCCCACCAGCCAGAGTGAGGTGTAACATTAGTCCACGGTTTATTTTGCCTTTCAGTAAAATTATATAATATGCTTGGGAAAGTAATATATATTTAGCAAGTAGGCGGTGTGTAATACTAAATTTTCGTTCGAGATAAGCTTTATTAGCTACCTTGATCATCATAGACAGTAGCATTAATATAATTTCCTGAAAGATTACACCTAGGGTAAAATGACTGCTACCTATGTTAAGAAATTTCACATGCTACCAAAACACCTAACATCAGTTCCAGAAAGGATTCAGTGTTTTGTAAATATCTCAGCTACCATTATTGCAAGTATATTTAGGAGGGGAGACATAAACAGATTGTACAGTTAGAAAAATCACAGTAATGGTTTTCTTTACATACTGACAAGAGTTGAGGAACCATGAAAATGCGGAGGGACTGAGCAAACTTTTCTTGATATAATAAGATTATTGTTGGGTATCCATCCTCATTCCCAATTCTGTTAAATTAGAGATTAATACTTCTCACTAGGGATTCAAGAAATCCAGTCTGAAGCGAGTGTCTAATTGGGTCAGAAAGTAAGTCAACTGGATTCCCAGTTATGACTTCGGGTCATTTTCGTGTCACATCACGAAACGACAAAAGTAGGAAACTGTGGAACATCATGTTTCCGACCTAGTGACTGAATAGTAACTTACTCTTCACGAGATCTGATAGTCATGCATCAAATTCTCATATAAATGTGGTTGTTGCTGTTGAACAGTTCACAACTGTAATTAAACAGCTACCTAGTGTTCCTAGGTCTTACATAGTCCTCGAAACATCGTCAGTCAGTGTTGAATGCTACTTCAAATCAATCCCCCCCTACAAACCACCAATTGGAATTACAGAAAGTCAGTTTCATAACCAAATCATAGAGAAATATCAATGACCATTTTTGTGTGAAACATTTCAGACTCTGACTGCAGTAACCAGCACGAATACATTTGAAGTGCTTCCTTCACGGATCTTACCCTTAAGTATATTAACTCAATAATCCAATCCAATACCTAAACACTCACTGACACTCTGAGCCGGCTTTAAATCATTTAGTGATGATTTATGACAGAAAAACTCTAAACTCTGAGGAAAACGGGATTAGTGAGCATCAACGGAATTGTCTGTGGGGAATGGAACTGGGTACCGGTAAGATGATATAGCCAGGAAATCAATGCAGTTTCTGCAAAAATCACCTGTATTCTACATTTGCGATGAAGTATTTTTTACTTTTGCTACTTTCTCATTTGTCTTCTGTAATCTATTCCGGTATTTTTCGTTTATTCCCTCATAATCTCTACTCATTGAGTTACTTTTCAGTTAGGAGATTTATGGGAGTTTATTAATTGCAACTTGGTATTCATCATGGACTAATATCAGTCATAGGAACATTGAAAACCTGAGAACACGATCCCTGACGGTATCACGGGTGCACACTGCTGAGGAGTTCAGTACTACGACGAAAAAGCTGTCCAGTACTCCCAGGTTTCCAATTTTCCTCCAAATGATGTCAGTCAATCCATGATGATGAATACCAACTTGAAAAGTCGCTAAATCCCCACAAACCCCTAAATTGAATCAATATTATGCCTATTGGAGACTCGCTTCGAGAGGTGATTCCTGAAGTTCCAATGAGAAGTCGTGACTAGTGAGACAAACCTGACATTGGGTGATGGTCGCGTTATTTCGTGAAGTGATAGAAGTCGGAAATGTGGATCAGTGAGTTACGATCCCGTGGCTGGATGGTAACGTGCTGAGCGCGGGAACTATAGGCAGTGAGTTGGATCCGTGGCAAAGTGGGGCGGCGTCATAGGTGTGCACTGCTGAGGAGTCCCATACCGGGGTGAAACGGCTGTCCAGTAATCTCAGGTTTCCAGTGTCCCTCCAACTGATGTCAGTCCATGATGAATACCAATCTAAAACTCATTACTTTTACTTATGACACTGAACCACATAATACTTATGTGTGTTCTCGTAAGTAGTACACATCACAACGGAACAAAGGATTTTGGTAAGAAAAAGCTCAGTCCAAACCGCTATCGCATATAAACAATGTTAATATTGAACATTTGAATGCATATTGTAACACCCTAAATGACACTTAGTGTCTACTCAAAAAAACACCAATCAAACAACCAGAACCTTGTAACGTTTATCCATCAGAATGACTATAAACTTGTGCTTAAATAAAAAGAAGCTGCTTTATCTAGAAAACAGTTGAAATGAACAAAAAACAAAATGAAGACACTTCAACAAATGATTCTTGTTCTAAGAAAGTGTAGCATAATACTTACTAATGCAAAGCAATTCACCTCTCTTAACCATGACTCCAAATAGTCTTCTGAGTATATATTCAACTCCGAATCTTTATGCTCAAAATCGAAATTCGAGTGGGAATGCTTACGATAGGCTGCCAAATAAATTTTTATCCACTTTTTCTGAAAGTCTAGCGATGGATACTTATCGAACTCCATAGCATTTGGTCCTGAAACAGAAATAATTATGATACAAGTAGGAAAAATGTTTTATTTTCAGTTATTATAAATATGAATTTTCAGTTCATTGAATATTTCCATATAAAAAGTCAGGAAAACTGGTAATTTGAATGAATTCCTTTTTTCGTTAAACTCTCATCAGACTTAACCATTAAATATCATTTTTGTAAGAATAATTAACCTTGGGTTGGGGCTGGTGTTACCTAATGAGATACTGACTGGAGTCCAGGTACATCCAGGTGACGAGTCCCAAATTGGATGGAACGTGGGTCCTAGATTCCACTACTAATCACCAGAATTAATACAACATCATGAATATCCGGCAGGATCGAGGCATCCGCTAGGGAGATCATCTGCCACCAGAGGTTGAGCAATTCAGCTTTGTGTTTTATTATTATTTGTCCCTTGGGTTCCCAGTGAAACATGGGTTTTAGTAGCACTTCGCCATTTTATTCCGTTCTCTGCAGTCTTTTGAACCTGGCTTCACGACTCCCCATAAGCTTTCATTTATTCCTCATATGATCTCCTCCATGTCACGCTCGGACCCCCAACTCGTCGCTTCCCTCTTGGGTTCCACTCAAGGGCCTGGAGTGTGATGTCCCCAAACAGTAATTTGGCTTTGTATAGCAACGGGAATTTGCAAGTATCAATAAATTCATCTTCCTCTTTAAACTTTTTTATTTTGACTGCATTTAACAGTCATTTTGACAAGACATATATATCGTCAAGTGACTCAAGCCAATGGTTCACTAAAGTGAATGTTTTTGGCTCTCGCTGAGTCTGATGGTACAACATTACCTCATTCTGAAGTCAGTCTTTATGCTGTTGTCTAGAAATACGATGCCAGCTTCACAATAAAACCATCTAATGTAAAGAAAGCAATACAACCAAAATTACTCATCTGAGCTACGAATATTCCCCATCATTTTGGAAGCAATAGTTCGGCAATAAGACTGATCAAGATGAGTTAGTAAGGTTTCTTTTAAGTCGTCGATAAAATTTGAGGCGTTCACGTCTTTATCGAGTTAGCAATGAAACTGATTAACAGTTCCTCAAATTTATCGATAGAACGTAATATAGAATAACAATATTCATGATAACTAACCCGTAAATTCACAAAAGTGATTGCCAATATCGAAAGCAGCATAATTTAGGTCACAATATTCCATATCAATGAAGTGGACTGAATCTGATATAGACAAATGATACGTTTGTAGAAATAAATGAATAAGTAAGTCAACTAGTAAGTAAAAATACTTAGTTTCACGTTCAAATCACTTTTATATTATTACTAGAATTTTAGGTTGGTATTCATCATGGAGTGATATCAGTTGGAGAAACATTGGAAGTATGAAATCAGTGGATAAATTCCCACAAACCCCCCAAATTCATTTGATCTAGTGCCCATTGGTGACTCGGTTCGAGAGGTGATTCCTAAAGTTTCAATGAGAAGTCGTGACTGGTGAGACAAACCTGGTTACCGTGAGGACAAATACTCAACGATGACATTGGGTGAAGGTCTCGCTACCACGTGATCTGACAGAAGTTGGAAATGTGCATCACTGTATTCCTCTCCAGTGGCTGAATGGTAACGTGAAGGCCATAGAACCTCAAGATCCTAGGTCCTTGGAGAGGTGAGTTCATGGATGCGCACTCCTGAAGGGTCCCATACTAGGAGGAAATAGCTATTTACTGCTACCAGGCTTAAAACGTTTCTTCAACTGATATCGGTTCATAATGAATAACAACCTGAAATCAATAATATATCCTTACAAACCTCAAAGTATTGTGCACTATGGAGAACCATTGAAAGCCCGAGACTATTGGACATCTGTTCTGTCCTAGTATGAGACTCTTCAGAAGTATGCACCTATGACTAAGCAAAGGGTTGAACTAGAGATTTTTGGATTTCGCGGTGAACGTATTAACCATCTAACCATTGAACCAGAGTTCAAGGATCAACATTTTTTCCACTTCCATCATTTCGTGACGTACGGTGACTAACATCCAAGATCTTTAGTTGGCACACATTTCACTCGATTGTACGCATGTTTATTGTCTAAGAAACTGATTTGGTTTCAGTAAAAATGGTAGATAGCTATCAGCTTAATATCACAGTCTTGAACCACACCAGTCTTTCTTTTCCTTCGTAAATCGACTCTTAAATTGTCCTTTTCTGTTTAGCTTTTACCGTTAAAACTTTTTACTTGGCGAGCTACTAATTATTCTGAGAGGAATGCATAAACTTTTATGAGATATGGCCAGTACATTAAATGAAAATGAAGAATTTAGCAGTGTATTTATATGATGTTGGCTCTCAGGATTCTGTTAAGAAGGTATCCGGAGACTATAAGACGCTCCCTTTAATTATAGTGATATCGGTAGATTTGATAAGACCTAAGTTATTTCTTTTTTATCATTTATTAATTGTCCTTTGGATTTCTAATGAAACATATGGCTTCAGTAGTAGGTCGCCATTTCACTCTCTTTCTCTACAGTCCTCCTAACCTGCTTCCATGACTGCCCACAAGCTTTCATTTCTTCCTCACATCATCTCCTCCATGTCACCCTCGTCTCCGATGCCCAACTCATCATTTCCAATGCGGGTTCCACTCGATGCCCCAGCCTGGTCTGGCGCGTCATGTCCTTAATCGGTCTTCTCTGTGTATACCCAATCCAATCCATCCCCACTGTCTTCTTCTGCTGCATATTTGTTGGGTGATAGGTTCTTGCCTCGTTGGTCCGTTGTCAGGCCAGAGTTGCTTGTCGCTTATTCTTTCTGGCCTCCTGATTTCATCTCCATCTTCAGTATCGAGTGAGCGTAGACTGCAGCTGTTGGTGAATCTCTGTAGTTTGTTGGAAATGCTTTTCTTGACGCACCAAGTCTCAACCATCACATAGAAGCACTGACTTACTCGACCAAATTAGTGTTGAAAATCCGGATCATGTTCACGCTCTGTGAGGAGTCCAGTGCCATGCAGTGCAACAGATCTCCAAACTGGTTTCAGATTAACGAAAGAAGGTCTGTTTTTCTGACTTTCTGATCCTGGCTTTGGCATTCTCATCTGTGCCTGTACCGCCTGTAGTTGGAACGATGCCGCTTCCTAGGTAGGTGAAAGAGACAACTTCCTTCAGATTTCTCCCATTAATGGTGATTGGTGCTTCTTCCTTCCTAACACAGTTATTTTGTCTTTGGATTGTTTTAAAGGATTTTCAAATATGTTTCTGGTATTATTCATCCATTTCTTATGTGCAAGTGTACTAGTGAAACCATCTGATCCCGTTAATCGTAGAGTTCTTGGAAATATAGAGAATATTTGTTGTTTAAGTGGACCGGTTGACTTGTTCAATAAGCTTTCATCGTATTTTCAGGCAACATTATTAGTGACAACTTCACCAATACTTGACGTACCAGGATTTTGATATGAGTGGCTATTTAACCATTTTCTGACGAAGTGGCATTTGAGTATCTCTTCGAGTGTCATGTCATTGGCTGTACAGATTTTTCCATTGATGTGAACACTAATCAGCAATTACGTATGACAATATATCATTGCTGTGGACATAAATTCGATCCTGAAAATCTACTGATCTTAGACAATGGAAACATAAGGAAGACTAGAGAATTTCTTGGAGCTCGACCCTCAGGTCGATCGGCAATTAGTTTGCATATAAACATGGACCGAATTTATTAACCAATAGGAAAAATGGTTACCAAATTACAATTTCAGAGATCATGTAGAGAAATGATGAATGCGAAAACCAGTACAGTCAACAACAGATCAGTCGAAGGAATCTACCAATTATGCGCCACTTCATCGGGACAGGCTAATTATTCACTTGGGAACAGTTGTTAGGAACATGGAAGCTAATTTACTTTCTGAATGTATCTTAGTTACGGAAATTGTTAATTTTGTGTTCATAGGGATATAATCAGACTGGAAGTAGTACTGAAGGAATACTGATCTATTTTTGAATTTATTTCTACCATGCTTACTAACAAATATTCATGCTGATTACATGCCACGGCATCACAGATGTTTACCAGGAAATCTTGTGTCAATCAAACAACATTTTAATGTATACAAAGGCGGGGACATAATAGGGAGATTTTACATCGATTGGCTAATGGATAGTAACTGATCACTGCCTGAACAGCTCGGTATTCGGACCTTTGCCTTCAACAACGGCTGATGCTGGTTCGAATCTTTGAAGAGAAACTAATTCTACGGAGGTTGCAAATATGCTTTGTTGATGAGTACCAATAAGCTCGAAACCCTGGTTAGACAGGGCTTTCTGCCGACTACCTCTAGTCAACTAATATCAATCATGGAAATTATATAACCACCTGGTTACTTACTATACTTGCCTATGGGCATTACAATTACTTCAGTTGTGAAGCTATGACCCGTTGGTTTTTAAATTATGAGTCATGAATTCCATCACTATTCCACTCACTGACAATGACCAGTCATCACAGAACAGATATGGTGCACAACTAGCTTTGAAACACGGAAATACATTCCATTTCCTGTTTTTGTTATCTATTTTAATTCCCTAGACTTACTTCCATCTGGAGTTAGTATGATATTCGCTGCATTCAAATCATTATGACACAAAACCACCTTGGATATAGGACTACGAATATATTCCTTCTTCAGAGTGTTTATCTCATTCAGTGCATAGGATTTACTGGGGAAGATTGATTCATATCTGAAATGAACGATAAAGTTACGGTTAATAAAAATTCTGGTATATTGTCACACTGACAGTTTGCTTATCAAATAGGTTACAATGCGAATTCTAATCCCTAATGTAAGACAACATTCTAGTGTTAGATGACAGCAGTTAGTCAGTAGGAAGCCGTGAATAAGTTAAGAAAGGATTGGCGGAACTTATCAAGCATGTGTATCTTGTTACCTAGGGGAAACTCACCTCTCCTAGATGAAAACGTCTCCACAGGAACATAAATTTTCATAACGACACAAGTACATCTTGCAAACAATCGTCAATAAACACCAAATCTAGGCCAAAGATAGAATTTCTCATAAGTTAACGAGTAACATCGAACACCAAAAATATATCATTCAGAAAGGCTCACTAGCTCACTAGCCACGAGTTAACTCTGTTCGACAGTTTTCAGCCATCACTCAAAATTAAATAGCTAGTATGTTGCTTAGTATTTGCTTACAGATATTTTCAAGAGGCTCGGTGCTCATGCAGTTTGCCACGTGATGTATGCTACTTAAATGAACATATGTAAGTAATATATGACATGAGATTCCTAGATGAGGTAGTCTGAGTTACAACTTAGTCAATACCAGGTCTTAGCAAAGAAACAGAGAAGATAGACAAGGAAGCAACAGGAACTGAAGGTCAGTTTTTCCCGAATGTAGGATGCAGTAAATATTTTTATCAACTGGGTTTAGTGTTACTTTCACAGTTATACTAAGCTGTTATTCCATTGTTTGATGATCAGTACTACTGATCAACCAATACAACTTCGACTGATGCAGTGTCATTCCAACATTAGGTGAAGAGATTAGAAATGATGACAGATACTGATGGGACGCTGCTCCTCAATTAAGAAAGATAACAAGTTAAATAATAAGCTGAAGTAGTTCGTAAATAAGGTCGCTTATCTATCAAGTCAGTAGTTTTTGCATTTATTAGTTACTGAGTCATTAGTATCCTGCCTAACCAAACTATTGGATGAAATAACTAAGGGAAACAAGTGGTTCCTATGCAGTACAAAAGAGTTTACGATATGTTGGATTAAAACTTGGGTACTGTAGTAAGTTGTAATCCCATTTCAACAGATTTATTAGATTTATTACACAGTAGAACAGCATTATGTACTAGATTACGATTCGGACATAAGTTATTGTCCATAGTCATATCAAGATAACTACACAACCTTCAGATATCCTTTATATACTTCTTATTTTCTCGCCTCTATTTGTGATATCGGTAGAAGAATTCTCCCTATGTCCAGAACAGATACTGAGTCATTTCTGTTGCATGTTGTGTTAGGTGATGATTCAATGAAGAAAGATTCGTTTATCAATTTCTCTCTCCATCCCTTTATGTAAGTTTTAAGGATTTTCACCCCGTCGCATCCTATTGTACGGCTGTGTGCAGTTGCACGTATAGCTATGGTTGAGCTTCGTTCTTTGTTTATCGAACCAACGCCAAATACAAGCAATAGGAATGATTTTGTACTTGTTTTAGAAATGTCAAAAATTCCACCATTCTTATCACAAAGGTTAGAGAATTTGAACTATATCAATCGTCTTGAAGTTATGGAGTTATCTTGATATAACTATTGGACAATAAATTGTGTCCAAAACGTTATCCAGTAAATAATACTGTTCCACTGTTAGGTATCTAGCAAACAAACTAAAATTGAGTTTACGATGTGTATGCTTCCATAAATCGATAAGTGAACTGAAATCACAAATGTACCATGTAAAGACCTCTGTTTCCATCCTTGCCCTACAGGAAACAAAGTAATGAAATGAGACAGCTAGGAAAATAATATGTTCATGCTTTCATACACTGAAACCATATCAAGCTCATTAGTTAGGTAACTGGGATACCATCGGTTATTAAATGAGACCGAAAAGTATATTCATAAAACCATTCTAAGAGAAGGCGTATACTGTAGTTATTATAGATATAGAGCAGATATTTTCCTGACAAAATCTGTTGATCTAGGGGAGGGTTAAGATATTCATGAACGAACTATTCAACATAACAAAAGCTTACATTCCCACGGTAAACCGAACGTAATCTCCACTAAGTATGGCGCAACTGACCAGTGTTAAGGAAACTGTTGTCTAGGGATTAGCCAATTTCGGATCTTTTAGTACTGAGTAGTAAGCGAAATATATCGACAAAGTATGTAATGTCGATTCAGATCTTTGTAGCTGGTATCAGTTCCTATAGGGTTGCAGATATGCCCTGTTGATGAGTGTTAGCAAAGACGAAACACAAGTGGGGGACAGTTTGCTTCCTACGTCCAATTCTCTAATTGCATTATGCTTAGTAATTATTCCCCAGGCATAGACAACATGACAAAAGACATCTGTGTTTCACAAACGTCTCTTTGAATCCCAATGATTCGGCGTTGATTCATTCGCTTAACGTGGTTATCTAATGTTAAATAAGCTATCTGTGCGTGACTCGGCTGCTTAATAAGCAGCATCCTGGAAGTTGAAGAAGTGACCAGTGAGTTTGTGCCTCAAATGAGGCATAAATTTACTTATTTTCTTCCAATTCTGAGATAAAGAAGTGAGTTTCGTCTTGCAAACTGATGGAATTAGACAGAGGGGAGAAAAAAATGGTCGACTATTAGTTGAACCATCAGTGTTGGTCGTGATTCCTAAACTGTATTTCAAGAGGAAAAGCAAGAAGAATACACCTAGAGAATAGAAGAAAAACAACATCCAATCGGGTCATGTAATGAATCCTGTGATCTGTAGATTACTAATTTTAACGGTGCTATATTTGGATTTTTTGTTAGATTTAGACAATCTACTGGTGCATATCAAGATTATAAATCTTCGTAACATTTATATTCCGGGTTTCTAAAGTAGCTTCTGATGTTTTGTCTCTGGTTCGACAGAAATGATGGGCCGTAACTGGTGTATGAGTTCTCTCATAGACGCCTTGATGTTATTGGTAACTTCAGTTTCATAGAGATTAACTTATACGCCTAATGTCTCCGATTAGTTGGATCTAATCAACAACCGGAAATTACAAGCCACAGCATAAAAACTATATGCGTCGCAAAAGTAATACCTTGGTGTATGGACCAAAAAGTTCTTAGTTGGAAGCAGGTAAAACTAATGAGTTGCAACATTCATAATTCAAAAAATGAACAGTTTTTGAGATGCTTACCTCTCTAATTTTCTTGATGAAATGATAAAATCATCTTGAAGTTTATCTATCCATTTCAATATTCTTGAAAATAATCTGGGTTCCATATTTTTCTCAGGTGAATCACTTTCCGTATCAAATTCGTCTGTAGGTAAGCAGTGTAACTCAGCCATTTTCTCTGCAATTAACCTTCAAGAAAAGACGTTATTTTATTGGTAGAACCTTCGTGAGAAATCTTGAATTTGAACGGTTGTTTTAACCGACTTTTTTCAACGTGAAAATGTAGCTGGTGAAAGGAAATGCACACGCTCTCTTGAACGTAATGACTCAAATGAGATTACAACAACTCTGATAGTCCTCCTTCTAAGGCAGTTTAATTGTAAAATACTAAACTACCAGGAAACGATAAGATAGATTTCTTCAGAAATTACACATAGTAGTGACAAAATAAACATAGAGTAAACAGAGAAGCACCAGTCATCAATAACGGGAAAAACCTAAAAGGAAGTAGTAGCTTTCACTCAAATACCTACTTAGGCAGCATCGTTTCAACTACAGGCGGTACAGGCACAGATGAGAATGCCAAAGCCAGGATCAGAAAGTCAGAAAAAACAGACCTTCTTTCGTTAATCTGAAACCAGTTTGGAGATCTGTTGCACTGCATGGCACTGGACTCCTCACAGAGCGTGAACATGATCCGGATTTTCAACACTAATTTGGTCGAGTAAGTCAGTGCTTCTATGTGATGGTTGAGACTTGGTGCGTCAAGAAAAGCATTTCCAACAAACTACAGAGATTCACCAACAGCTGCAGTCTACGCTCACTCGATACTGAAGATGGAGATGAAATCAGGAGGCCAGAAAGAATAAGCGACAAGCAACTCTGGCCTGACAACGGACCAACGAGGCAAGAACCTATCACCCAACAAATATGCAGCAGAAGAAGACAGTGGGGATGGATTGGATTGGGTATACACAGAGAAGACCGATTGAGGACATGACGTGCCGGGCCATGCTGTCGAGTGGAACCCGCATTGGAAATGATGAGTTGAGCATCGGAGACGAGGGTGACATGGAGGAGATGATGTGAGGAAGAAATGAAAGCTTGTGTGCAATCGTGGCGCCAGGTTTTGAAGACTAGATAGAGGAGAGTGCAATGGAGGCGTGCTGCTGAAGCTATATGTTCCTCTAGGAACCCAAGTTAAAAATACTACTACCAATAATAATAATGACAGATATCACAAGCCTGTATTCAATGTAGTTCATGTTAATAAAATTTACATTCTACATTCAAAGTGAATAGTTCTTCACTTCACATCTTATGTATTTCTTTGCACTCTTTCTCTTTTCTTTCCCTAGAACTTCCCGTGACTGAATATCAGCACCGACTACTTTTGTTTACGACATGAAGTTATACACTACTTATGTATTCTTATGAGCAGTATGCATCATACCGTAAGTTATTTTCATATGACTGCAGTGTTTCGATAAAAGTGACAGTGAATATTTTCAATAAAGAAACAATAATTGCATCAGATGTATATTAAAAATGTTGTATGAAACTACAATGAATAACTGCATGGGTTATAATACGTGTTTTCCTTTTGATACTCAATCTTTTTTCGCTACAGAATACTTAGAGCAATGGAATCCAGTTACACCCCAGATTCGGTTTAAAATGGATAGCCATTCACTTGGGAAATCATAATAACTAACCAATACTTTGGAAGAAAAACAGGATATATAAATTAAGTAGAGACTAATATCCTGGTAAATACTATAGATATCTAAATGCAGTTGGGATTTGATGGTATGGAAAAGTTTGGGCATTGGGTAATGATATTCATTACTTTCATGTTTGTATTTCCCAATCACAACGAAAAATGAAATAAATTTGTTTCAACTCACGTTTATCTATTCAATACTGTTAACAGCTTTATCAAAGTTAGAGTAAATCGGAATTTACAATATACCATCCCATGAGTTTATATATATGATAACTTGACAAGTGTTCTCCTGCATGAATGATTCTGCGTTGTCAGAGTTGTAGAATAAAGATGATATCCATTTGTAGAGTGTTGTGTGTGGATTACAGATAGGGATTTGTGTGTACACATATGTTGACTGATAGTTCTTATCACGATGTATGTTAGTTATGTCAGTATGTGAGGTTGGCTTGAGACCCAGTCAAATCACGTTTTATTTGCTCATTCCTATTTAGACAATTTTGATTCCACTCAATGTGAACAGATTCTGGCATGAGACATTCTTTATAATTTCTAAAGCGACCTTTCTGAATAATTCCGATATTCTCAGTGAGTTGACCTTGTGATCTGAAAATTGTCGCGTGTAGAGCTATGCCTGATGTGTTTTTCAGTTTTTTCCAGTTTCATTGGATTTCTGAGGGGTCAGGTGGAAGCTCTTCGGTGTTCATTTCTACTAACTTTGATTTCGCGGGAAGTTTATCCCATGTATATTGCACCACAGTCTGAACACTTTATTATGTAAACACAATTAGATTGTGAATGTAGAGGGATTTCGTCTTTTAAATTGCAGAATGACTCATGCCAGAATCCCTTCACATTAAGTGGAATCAAAATTGTCTAAATGGGAATGAGCAAATAAAACGTGATTTGACCGGATCTCAAGCCAACCTCACATACTGACATAACCAACATACATCGTGATAAGAACTATCAGTCAACACATGTGTGCATTCAAATCTCAGTCTGAAATCCACACTCTTCACACACAACACACTACAAATGGATATTCTTTTTATTCTACAATTCTGACAGGTAAATACTATTTGACAGTATATCATAGAGTAAGTTGTCATAGTAGTTAAAGACTAAACAGGTTTTCAGTGTTTATGAGTTTGAAAGTGAAGAAAGACCGAGGATATTCACTATTGGATTTAGTCCAAGTATTAGGAATTTGTATGCTGGTTTTCAACAACTTTGACCATCAAGTCTCTTCACTTCCATAAATCGAAAGTTCACGGATTGCAGGAGATATTCGACAGTGGGTCAAATTAGGGGAAGAAACTATAAAAACGTCTACCAACTCACTCATTACCAATCTTACAGAAAACCGTTACGTCCAAGGTCTGTTACTACTTTAAGTTGTATAGAATATGCCAATCTTTTTTCAAACAGGAAGATATCACTGTGTAGTAGAGTAAAGGAAACTCGATTACGTTCTTGTCTTTCAGAACTCTAATGCAACTAACTAGACTACAGTGGAACTGGATCTGTTCGTCATATCATTCAACACTTCTGTAGCCGATTTTCTTGACGACTGTATTTATTATCCACATTGGATTAGTAATGGCGGTAAACTGGATTACTTTAGGCTAGCTGGTAATCAACAAAGCCAAGAATACAGTAGAAATGTATTGTATATGTAGCTATGATAATTATCTCTGTTTCATTTCAGCTATATCCATGCAACCTACCGATTTCATATTAAGGATGGATAGTGGCTAACAGTGAATTCCAAAATGCACTTTTGTTTCTGTTTGGATCAGTGACCTAAGGGATAATGCTCTGACGTTTGAAGCGATCGCCTCCGGGTTCACGTCTTAAAAGAAACAACATCACTCACTTGGAGACAGGTGCATGCAGCTGGCGATGCTCAAACAGGATGAAACGCTCACCTTGAATCCCACTACTAGCTACTATCAATCATTCAAATCAAATTTGAAAATACTAACAATACCAAGGCATCTACATAGGAGCCCAGATGACTATACTGGAACATTTGAGGATAACCTGTGGATGCTTGTTGGGTTCCATACTAAAGTTACCATTTTCTGAATGGTCGCTGAGGTAAAATATTGTTCTTTCACCATCTAGTAACATTCCAACTGTCATCATAAAACGTTTAAAATGATCAGGGAGTATGTCACAAAAAGATGTGACTGAAAAGGTAACTGGATGGATTTTGGAACCGTATGAATTCTGTTTCCCATAGCGATACTTAAATTAAACAAGAAGGACCGAAAATATTTCAGTTATTAATTGGTTCAATCAATAAACGAAACCATTAAGGTCGTTTTAAATTTATGAATTGATCTGATGAAGGAACAGGAAGAAGAGGATTAACTTCTTTAAAGTTTCACATCCTTTTCTGTTGATGACTGTCAGTAAAAACGAAACCCATATCTAGGGATTTCTGATAGAGACCTATGTCTTCGACGTTGTTGCTAGGAGGTGATAAGGTTATTCAAGAGGAAAGTAATCCTGGTTTATTAGTTTCAGCAACTGAGGTATTAGGTGACATTATCTATTCTTAATCACCGATAGTCAAAATGTCCAAAGAACGAGGATAATCCTGTGTGATGAGTGTAAATCAGACAGTTTGATTTTAGATTCTATAATCAACAAACACCTAACTGGAGTTCAGAAACAGCAAACTTGAGCAGAACCATCCAGATTTCAGAACTGGCTACGAATGTGTCAACCGAATGTTTATCACTCACCTCATTTGGGAATACAGGAATACTCACTTGAGTCTAACAGTAATTGTATCTCTTGGTCCGAAGATGACATTTGAATTTGTCTATCCAGAGGTCCAGTGACATTTTCTTCATCAGGAAGGACTTGTTGGGAATAACGTCACTCTACCCAGGACTTCAAACTAGAATACCCTTGGTTATGTTACTGTATATTTTGAGCAACAGGAGAGTTGTCTAGGTCAAGTGAGGCACACCAAGGATACCAAATCTTTCTATTTCTTGTTTATTGAGGGCTTCTCACCCTTATCAGAATTAACTAGGATTGTTCTCCCCACAGGGGGCTCATTGGTTAACTGTAGGTATTCAGAAGACACCAATAAGATGCAGTCTTCTGAATGCGCTGAGTGGCAATTCGAGAATGGTGAAGATGTATTCATCGTCTCATTTATGTAAACTGTTACTTCAGAACGAACAAGTTTATGTTGATACCTTGTAAGAAAAAAGGGAGCAGAAGATTTGAGTGTGTTGGCCACTTCACTTACTCGCAATCCGGACTAGCTCTTATAGGTTAGTGAATGACCAATTCTCGATATGGACACAAAGTGATTGGTTTTAGGTTGGAGTCCATCACTGACTGGCGTCAGTCGGAGGAATCTTTTAAACCTGGGAGCACTCTACTGCTGTTTCTTCCTAGTTTGGGACCCGTCAGGAGTGCACTCCCACAACCTCAC